ATAGATGTCTTTGAGATCTCAAGACGAGAATATAGGCGTATAAAATTATAATCTCAGAAATATCTTATTATCTTGTGTTAAGATTATTTTTATCGAGCATTACAAACATCATTGTTTTTAAGGGAACTCGATATGTCTTAGATTTAACAATCTCTCGTTTCTCGTTGGTATCTGAGCTATGCGGGATGCGTGAAAACACGTGTTTCCAATTAAGGAATAAAAGAGATATTTCAGGCTGAGGATTAACTTTTATCGAACGTTTACAACAGGACGCCAGAAGAGATAGCGGAATATTAAGTTTCGCGCGGTTTATCGCCAATCTCGCGGTAAAGGCAGAAATCGCGTCGTAAATTCGCGCATTTATTCTACGCGGTTTCGAGTTCCCACGTTAATAAGAAGGAAAACGCATCGAGACGAAATATCAATGTACATATCATTCATTCGCGAATTAAACCACACAACACCGCCAGCTTTGAAATTCGTCAAAATGTTTATTTCACACATTCGATCGTATCCTTAATATAATTGAGTGAGTATTGATGACTTCTACATGGAAAATGTAGAAACGTAATAAAAGGAAAGGTCCTTTGATGCAGATGTTTCGTATTTCATGCGCGCAACTGAAGCGATCAACAATCGCTACTTTGTATGGTGGAGGTTGATAAGAATGGATATAAAGAGAAACTGCGCTGTTGCTTAATTTAATGAAAAGTTCAATTTCACTCATCCGTTTAAATTACATTTTGTCCCTCCTATCTCGTAGGAGACAAAAGAGTATCGCTCAATTATAATCAAATTATGATTATGCGCATTACTTTCAATAAAAAAATTTATTTATCATGTGCTGCACAATATGGGAACCAAATGTTTTGTCACGAGAATCTCGTTTTGACCGAAAATCTTCAGAAAATGTCGAGGTTACAGTTTTTGAGTTATAAATGATTAAAGTTAATTAAAATTCAGACAATCAAGTTTGTCAAGTTTTTCAAGTTTGTTTTTTTCAATCGTAAAAGAATTTATAGATGTTACTTCATTGTTATCTTTTTTTAAAATGTTTACATCTCGAGAATAGTGAAGAATTATGTAATTTTAATTATGAAGAAAAGATAACATTTATTTTTATGTAATATTTTTTGTTGTGATTTAATTTGATTTTTTTAATTTATTAAAATTATAATTTATTTAATTTCCTTAGATATATATTGAATAAAAATTTGTAAATAAAAATAAATTAATTCCCATAAAAAGATTTTCGACCAAAACAGAAAAAGATAAACGTGATTCTTCAAATAAAAGGAGCATTGAAATTTTGGTATCACAATATTATTACAATTGATAAAAGTTTATTTGTTACCTATATAATTGCCTTTTAGATTATCATATCATAATTATTTAATTCTTTTTATATAAATACTTTTAACTACTTTTAAGGTATCAACGAAAGCAGTCTATTTGTTGATTGCATTTTAAGTTATTACGTAAGTTATATATTGACTCAATTCTATTTACATAATTATTTTTAAGTATGAAGGAAATTAGTACATTTATCAATTGTATTTTAGTTTATTCCACAAGTATTGTACTGGTTCAATTTTTTTATATAAATACTTTTAAGGTGTAATAAAACTTGCATTGTATGCATAATATTTTCAATTGATATGATTAAAACTACTTGTTTTCTAAGACTCAATTAACAACATTTCCTGTTGTAATTCCCGACTCCTGTTGCCAAGCGCTATTATTCCGCCTCTTTCCCATGAACTTCTAACTTTTCATTATCGCACGGCAACTTCGCGCCTGCGACGCCACTTTATCAGGAAAGGAGACGGCGTTTTATTATCGTACAGACTCGCGCGGCCTGAAATTTTCTTCTCAATATCAGCTTTATCGGCTCAACGACTTTGCACGTAAATGCTCGAAATTATAGTCGATCAACCGCGATTTCGCTTCGAAATTTTTATGAATCCTCACCGTGTAAACGCTCGCCCGTCTTTTTCTTCGTGGTTTACGTATTGCTACAAAATTCATCAAATTCTCCTCTCGAGTCACTTTCCGATTATCATATGCATAATTTTATAATAAATAAACTTTTTTCCGGTCACACCTTCGTTCTGGATGGAATACTTTTCCACGGATGCAATGGCGAGAAATTGGCTCGTCATCGATCGGCCAGCGACGACGGCGACAACGGCGAGGATGGAATATTATTCGTGGGCAACATCGACGCCCACGATTAACGACCTGCGCCGATAACCCATGGGCCCACGCTTCCACCCTGATGGGGTGTTGTCCCGACTCATTCGTTTTACGAGGCCATTTTCGGCGCGCGCGGCCACTCGAGGACTCGTCAATGATCACGCGAGCGCGAGAAAAGAGACTGAGGGAATTGATATGAGGGCGTGAAAAACGGCACTGCGAGGATCGTCAACGTTGTTGTGTTAAACAAATCCGTAGGTCGCTTGTTTAGTCGTCGGATTTACGAAGCCGTCGGTTCTTCGCGATGTCACCGCCCGCGAGAACGCTTAAATAGATTTTTATTTTAACAATAGTCTAATTTAACACACGCGAGTGAAAAATGCCATACTCGAGGCGGTTCTTCGTGCCTAATATTTCTTGCGAATTCATATAATTTTGAATTCGAATTGGAAATATAATATGTAATTAATTTCATTAGTACATTTTCACTTAATGTAGTATAATTTAAAACTTGACAAATTTAACTCCAAAACTGACACCAAAATCTGTGGCACAGTTACTGATGCTGGGTCTGTAAGACCCGTTTATGTTAATCAAGAGGTACTAATTTATGTTAGTCAAAAGGTACTAATTAGTTTCGAGGAAACAAAATGACACAACTCATATAAAAAAGAATGAATATTAAGTGTGTTTTAATAAGAATAATCCAAAAATTTGCAATGTAAAAAAATTAAATTGTTTGACATTTTTTACAGAGAGATTTATAATTGATTGGATTCACCCTTACAGAAATCTATAACTGATCAATTTATTACTGAAAAACAATAGGTGGTAAGGTGGTACAATTTCGAACATAGTATAATTCTGAGAACGATATACCTAGATTTAAATCCACTTTTCAAGATTCAAGGCTTCTTCCTAGCTTTTTAATACCCTTTAGTATCCTCCGCACAATGAGATCAAGGTTACCAAACTTAAACTTCGAAATTGGATCGAAATCTTATTTCGTTCAGAATTGTATCATATTCGAAACATGCTATTCTAATTGATTACTTATTCGTACTAAAAGTATTAAACAACAGTACTTTTACTACCTAAAATAAATAATTAATTATTGTATTTCGATATTAAATTGACCAATATTAGATTTCTGTAAGGGCATTAGTCAGTTCCGGGAGGTTAAAATTGAGCATTTAAAAAATAATAATCTCAAAATTTTCTTTGAAAATTAAGTCCTTCTAAATTAAAGTCTCTTTTACATTTTTTTAAGTCAAGGCATTTCTTTAAAATCTGAGTATAATCATCGTCGGTGTTATATTCGTGGATTATATATCTCCGGGGCGTAATCGAACGCGACGGGAAGAGGGTTCCCCGCGCCACGTAATAGCGGTAGCATGTCCAACGGTTCCGACATTTCGCGTCCGGCGGCCATTGTGCGCTAAACTCCGAAATAAAGGGGAGATACGCCGCGGCCCAGAAATTACGCATCCGCTGAAAGGCAGGCGCAAATTACAGAACGGCATAATGGCCGGGGTGCATGAAGCGCCTTATCGCCGACAATTTCTGCGCGCGGGCCGCCGCAGGAGGAGGAAAATCTCGCGCGCGAAATTATTCTACGTAGATTATATGGAGATCGGTGGTCGGTCTTACACGCTTCGTTGGCGACGCATAAATGTTTAACCGTTTTGACGCTGAACTGACTATGGATTGCATTGAGTGCGTGATAGATCTTTAAAAAAATCATCAATATTTGAATTGTATAAATTTCTTATTACAAGTAACCGTAAAATGAGTAAATAATTATTTGCACTATGAATACAAGTAATCAGAAATTATAGAGAAAAATATTTAATATTTGTGACTATATAATTACATGGTAAAATAATCAGAAACTTCAATTATCACTCTGTATAATGTTAGTAATAATAAAATATATAGTTAGCACCGAAAAATAATAGTCGCTTTAGCATTTAAAAAATCTGCATCAATATGCTGAAATAAATATAAAAATTTCAGCACTTTTTTTTAAATTTTAATTCAATTTTCGAATTTTAAAGATGTCTCCTAAAAAGAAGCTATCGTTAAAACTGAACTCGATGACATCCGAAGTGATTACGGATAGATTTAAGTGGTCCTCTTACCTGACCATGCTTATCCATGTCGTTATTTGTCAGCTTGACTTTCTCGAAAGAGACGACCTGTTTCCGCAGTTGCTCACCGGTGAAGGGTGAGTCGGGATGAACGTAAAGTCGCACGGGCGCCGGCGGATCCGCTTTACCAGCCTCGAGCCAACAACTCCGATGATAGGCGTATCGATACCTCTTGTTGTCGACCGGCACGATGTCCATTAATACTGCATAACGGCCCTCGGACTTGAGCCCGGTAAAAGATACCCGACACGTCGGAAACATCCGTCTGCGAAAGAATGCAGAAACAATGTAATAACAAGCGAATAATAATCACGATAAATTATTCGAGCTAAATATGTGGGAACTTATTTATATAAATAAATTATATGTATTTCACAAAATATACTTACCCGCGTAAAAAAACGAGTCAGTGCAACGTTACAGTGACCCATTTTTTTGCGGATATCTGTACTTAGAATCTTATTTTTTTAATTACATTTAATTAATTACTTGCGCAAAACGATGTTAAATCGTTTTGAAACAAGATAAAAAAAACTTAATTTAAACCTAGGTAATTAAAGATATAATTACGTACGTATACATTTGTGAAATGTGATAAATTCTGAACTTTAAAACGACAAACAAAAACGAGTTTCGATCTTTATCGTTTGATATCTGGTGTATGTAACCTAGTAATCACAAAATGACGTAGCAAAATCAAGGTAAAACCTTTGCACTTCGTGACCGCTTTCACGATCGTTGTAGTCTCGCAACGGTAGAAGTTATTAATTATAGAACACTGCCTGCAACAAGTTTTCTTCAGCAGCGTAAACGTTTCACCGCGCGTGCAGTATAACTTTCTCAACAGTTAAAACGCTTTTCTAAGTTTTATAATCTTGCTCCCTTTTCTAAGCGCAGTCCTAAGAGATCATTCATCACAAAATTAAGAAAATGTCAAATCTATTTGTATTCGTCATTATTATCAGTTTCTTTATATTTTTCTTAATATGTTTCACTCAGTCATGCCGAATTTAACTGTAGGTAGTTCGATCAAAGGAAACATTCGTCTCGGCACCTCGAGTTTCGTCACAAAAGCCGAGCCTCAGCCTTGAATCGGTCGCGTCTGCAATCGACCTTTCAACACTTCAAGAGACGTCAGGGCGCACGTGCCTTCGTCGACGATGCAAAGACGCGCTGAAAATTTCCCGCTGGCATAGCAGGGAAAATTGTAGCCTGACCTTCATCCTCCTGTTCCCAACCGAAACCTTTCATCCAGCCCACAATGTACGTCCTCGCTGCGATCGCACGCAATGGATCGCGTCCTGTGATTTACGCGCCTCGTGGAAGAACGCCAGACATTTTTCCGCGATCAGATGATGAGATATATTAATAGCTATTTTTTCACAGTGAAAAACTGGCTTCCAGTTAGTTTATCGCTGAAAATGTCGAGCTTGGGTCGGACGTGATAGGGGGATAGAAAAATTCGTTTATTCCGAAACGCAATCACGCCATTTCGCTTTATATAATTTATTACATAATTGCAAACTATGTAAGACGTAATATGATGTATATTCGATGCATGTAAGATTCCTCGTTATTTTATCTAAGAGTCTATTGCACGGAAGAAAGATTTTGCTAAAATATTTAGAAATTTAGTTAGATACAGATTTGAAAATAGTTTTGTTAAACTATTGCGAAACTATTAAAATAATTATGTAGAATCTCAAGTATGATGAGCAATGCTGCAAAACTGTTTTGACATTCTAGCAACCAGTTTGAGCGTCTTACATAACTATTTTGATGATACAACAAAATTATTTTTAAATCTATATCTAATTAAATTTATAGATGCACTGAAGCAAATATTAAATTTTAATAAATATTTGTTTGAAAGTTTTAAGTAAATACTTACTAAATGTAAACATATATTTATTTGATACAAAAATTAATTTGATTTAACTATTGTTTTTTTTAATTAAATAAATATTTATTTATTTAATATTATTCAAAGAAATAATTAAAGTATTAAGAAGTATATATTAGTAAATTTTGTTCAGTGTACTTAGCAAACCGTCCTTTCCTTATTATGCGCACGTAATTCTTGATAACTGTACCACGCGTGTGCGCTATTACCTCTAGTTCTGATCTAATTATTGTTACGCTAGACGCAAGCTTGATCGAACCATCAGAGAAGATTGAAGATGATGGATCCGCCTCGACATGCTTGTCGAGGTCGGCCAATGGTGTGTCCAGGACCGTGCAATCCACTAAAGGCTCATCATCACCATCATCACCGTCGTCGCCATCATCGTCAGAAACCCGATATGACGGGAATTGTCACGCCAGGGAAAGACGTACTCTTGCCGGATGAGTTTTCTCAAATAACGCTGCTGAGATCTTTAAAGACAGACGCTTCTGTCACATCTGTGACTTCGAAGGATGCTATGTCGATCTCCACAACCTCATCCTCCACCAAAATTGCTGTGATCAGAATTCCGAAAACTTCTCAGTCCAAAAAAACCGATGTTCCTCCGATTATACAACAAATTCTGTCACCGGACAGACTGGAAATGCTCGGAGAACCGTCGAAACCGAGAACCGAGAAGACGAGTGAGTTGGCGCCTTTGAGAAAAATTGAATCGCCGATTGCAGCGAGAACGACAACCTACCCGAAGGAAACAGCTGCGAGGGTAACACCGTATCAGACACCGAGGAATTGTCTGAACAAAGTAATATGCGCGATTATGATGAAACTGAACAGACTGACGTTGAAGATAACGTCGCCTCTTTTACTGTGTCTGACAATCCTGATGATCTACGTGGGAATTCATATATTATTGACTATAATCGCACGAACATCTGCGTACCAGTTTTTCATGTCCAGTCAGATCTGCGGGGTCCTCGCGTTTCTTATGTGGCGACTGACCGGCACGATACTAATCTGAACCACGCGAATAGATAATGCATCGAGATAATACGCTGCCAGACAAACACCGAAATTGATCGACGTGTCTTATACTAATTTATCATAATTACATATACATATGTAAAACAGTTACATAAGCTCTTCCGTTAAAGCATGGATTAATTAATTGATGTTCGGTGGTAAATTAATGAGTTCTATGAGTCTAGGAAACGTCACATGTGAACATTAGAATTCTAAGAAGTGAGATTATATTTGGATTTCAAAAGTCTATGAGAATTAATTGATCAATATTAATTATTGGAGAACGTTATGATTAATGATGCTACTGAAATAACTGCCATTTTTTTAATAGTTTGTCATAATTCTCTAGTGTATATAGCTAGAAAGGCATCCGATAATATTGGAATATATAAAAATATATTCTCGAATGTATGCGTATATATTTTCGAGTCAGACATCTCTCACATCGTTCGATTATAAAAAAAAGATATGTTGCCATTAAGATGCATTGCATATAAAATCATCGATGAAACTGCAGTCTGCTTGAGTTTCCTACATAATTATTTTAATGGTCCAACAAAATTATTTTCAAATCTGTATCTAGCTAAGTTTTTAGACATTTCAGTAAAGTTATTCTTTCTGTGCACGAACAATTTCACCACTCCTGCACAAGAACAATTTCACTCTATATAAAATATTTAAAAATCGCTAGCTAGTACAAATCTGAAAATAATTATATTGAACTATAAAAATTATTACGTAGGACGCTGAAGCATAAATGAGCAATACTACAAAAAGGTTTTCATTCTAGCAATCAGTTGAGCATCCTATATAATTATTTTGATGTCTAAAATAAAATAATTTTCAAATCTGTATCTAGCTAAATTTTTAGATACTTTGGCAGAACCATGCTTTCCGCGCGCCGGCTTCTCCGAAAGACAACAAGACCGCAAGCGTAATTGTTGCGGTTTTCTAGATCTATTTATTCGATGACAGGCCTTCTCTCCTTTTCGTATAGTGAGAGGGCCTGAGGCTGTAGGACTCGTTCACGACGGAGCTGGACGAAACGAGATTGGGATCCTTAAGCGAAACGCAGATAAGAAAGGCCCAGTTGCGTCACGCGAGTGCCTCGCCACTGTCTATTCGTAGTCCCATACCTTGGAGAATGGTCCCCCGCGACGCGGACCTCGCCGCCTCGGGAAGCGGTTTTGCGGTTTTCGAGCTTCTCGAAAACGATCCTCCCTATTCCGCAGCACGTACGCGTTCGGTTAGGTTCGTGTGGTTTTTAACAAGCATATTGTCCAATCGCGTTGAATAGTATCGTCGTTACGTCGCCCGGGGATCCGACACACCTTAACGACACGATTGTCGGCCCTCAGGCGAGGAATTAGCCGAGCGGTGCATTCGAAATGCGCACACCTCGCCTGCGCGCGAGAAACAAGCTCTTTATTCGCGGAGTCGATGACGGAGTCTGCGAGACCTCGCGCGTCATTTCTCCACGTTTGTAATTCAATTCCGAGCGCGTCATACCTGAGATTCGCTTCTCGATTTCACGGCGACGACGACGTGACATTCGATACATAAAATTCCAAATTACTGTGATTGACAACGTCGTCGTGAAGTTTAACTGCTATAAGGTAGAACGTTAGGGAACTGCATGTAGCTTCTCCTGAACGAAGAAGAATTTTAGGGATAACAAAAAGAAAATCCGAAAATTTTTTAATTCAATCGCACGATAATATTATCTAGTCAGCAATTACCTGAAGTGACCTGAATTTCTAAACTTAGAAATTTTTTAATAATTTATTTTTAGTGCAAGTGTTGTCTGTATTAGTCCTTAGTGTTAATTCTTAGTTTACAAGATAAGTGCCTTGCACATTTCTTTTTCTTTAAAATACTTGAGCACACCTGGCTAAGTGGTACTCTACCTTTTTTTTTACACAACTTTATAAAGATCTACTTTCTAAAGATGTTAATGTATACGTATATATGTATAAGAATCACTTAATAATTTTTGCACATTTATAAAAGTGATGAAAATTAACCCGGACACGAACAACGTGTGTAGCAAAGAACCGGAAAATCATATGTATTAAGGGTGAATTTCCGCACACAGGATTTTTGTTGTTTACTTAAAGGCAGGTGCTAAACACTCGTATCCCCAGGCTGTATACAGTTTTGCATATATTTCGAAATGAGCAGTGAGCATTTGTGGCCACGCACGTTGCCGTAATGTGGGTATTAATCCGGCCATCAAAAAACAACGCGGTTGTGCGCACTATCGTAATTACCCCGAGTTGACACTTTATAAAATCATCAGGGTCGTTTACACCTCCTTCAGCCCTCCACCCTGAGGCAGCTGCAGCTAACTCGCTTATCGCTTGAAGCCGGCCTTGACGTCGACGACGTTTCCTCCGAGGAGCTCGACTTTCACCTGCTGCACGCACGCGCGCGCGCGCGTTATGCCAAGAATAAATTTCGCAATCGTGCGTATATGCAACACCACCCATTCTCACCGGTGTTTCTGTTGGTATACGATCGTCGTGTTTCCGTAAACTTTAACCGACGCGATAAATCATCCGGAAAATTGCCATTAGAGGGAGGACCGACCACCCTGCTGGATAAGCGCGCCGACTATTTAAGTATCGATGGCGAACCGATCGACGATCTCTCCCTCGAGATCTGTCACCCTTAGTGATCCCTATCGCGCATTACGCTTGTATCCCATGAATCCTGTGCTTAGTGACTCATGTTTTTACGAGGATCGCGCGACGAACGAGTCAATTCCTGCGGCGCGTGTCACTTTCGGATGCGGAGCGCGTATCGCTATCGAAATTACCGCGACCGTGTCGGAATGGCAGCCCCATTTTGCTTTAAGTAGATTTTCGAAACAACGGCTTCGTAAAACACGGTTTAAAAAAATTTTATTTAAAAATAATATTCAAAAATACACACAATCGTGGAAATGGATATAATACTAAGAATTAAATATCTCGTGATACACAAAGTTTATTTAATGTATTGTGTATGAAATAGAATTTGTACGTTCTCAATTTATTCGTTTTACAATTAATTCGCTCCAATTTTTATTAAGACTCCTGTTCACTCACTATTATTTAGATTGTTAGAAGAAAATATGCAATAAAAATTCTTCTAAATTATATTCAAATAGAAATATTTTTCAATAAAATAACATTTGCAATCAATAGAATAGACTAATAAATATTCCAAAAACTATTTGTTTTGAGAAGAAATTAAATCATATTTATTTCTAAATATTAATTTGACAGTCATAGCTGTGAACATAGCTTATTTCGTTTTTGGTTATGCACGTAGTTATGAATGATTAATTTCCAGGGATATGGTTACTTAAAAAGGAATTTTTAGTATATTTGACAAGTTGATTCTACCGATCGTAATGTGTTATTTTATTAAATTATTTCCATATTAATATAAATATTTTACAAAAATTTTTATCGTGTATTTTCCCGCTTCTGATATCACACTTTGAAATAGTAATAAGTTAGCAGAAGCCTTAAGAATTAAATATTTTTAATTTTTATAAGATAAAATTTATTTAGCATTGTATATATGAAATGGAGATTTTATGTGTTCTCATTCATTTCTTTTAAAAATTAATCCACTCCAACTTCTATTAACTTCAATACATATTAAATAGCTCTGTAATTGACTCTCGACGTCCACCGAAAAATTAAATGCGTGTTCGTTCCTCTACATTAATTTTTTCGGCAATCAATTACGTCACCATCGTATGGCCTCGGATATTAAGATCGTAATAATAGCAGCAATTAAAATGAAACCTTCGCTCGCCACATGGCCCCCTCTTATTACTCCTCGAGAAGAATTATCGCGGCTTAAACGATCCAAGTGTTTTCCTGCGTCACTTTTCTCGATCGCGATAACAGACGTCCTAATTTTACCTGCAGGTAATTTATTTTTTATTCCAACGTCAACATTTCTTCCACCTCTTCGTTGAGTCTTGCGTCTCACATTACGGCACATTTCCTCGTGAAATTAGGCGGGAATAAACAAGCCTTCGATGGCCCATGACTAACGAGACCGTAATCGCAGAAACACCTCAACCCCGAATCCCTTTGAACCATTCGTATATCTTTCCCTGCTCCGCCAGGAGGAACGGGATACAAGAGGGCCACCGAGGAAAAGACCCGTCGTGCCGGTGAAGTTAATACAAATGGATCACGGAAGCGCGCTGGATACATATCGCGATTCGACCTGAGCCAAACCTAAAATGTGTTTACCGAGCTAACGACTTCGTGTGCCAGGTGGGATCACTGCCTATTGTAATTATACCGCGGCTGTCACGCGTTTCACGTTCTGATGATCGTGACACCGCGCCGCTCGGCAGGATATTCTTGTTCCTATATGAAAAAAAGACAACGAAGCGAAAGCGACTACTCGCTTCGAAACGATACATACGCTGGAGTTTGCACCATCCAATATATAAAAATTGAAACGTGTTCTTCTTCAATCGAAAATGAAAGAAGTAGAATTAGTCTAGAATATTAATATTAAATATTGATTTTTTATGTAGACACGTCCGTAAATTCATCGCGTAAGACGATCTCTAACTCGTTCTCGAATTTATCAGTTAATATTGTTTTTTTTTTCTCAGAACGTTCGATAATATTTGGACACTTTAATGATACAAAAGAAACGATTTTGTTGAAGTATCTAAAAATTTAGCTGGATACAATAAAATACTGAAAATAATTTTATTAGACTCACTGAATTACAAATCTCTTTGTCAAAAATGTCAAACGATTCAATTTTCTTTATATGACATCTGCAAGTTTGGATTATTCTTAAATATATCTTAAATATATCTAAAATATACTTATAAGTATTCATTTCTTTTAAATGAAAAAACGGTTTTGCTAAAGTATCTAAAAATTTATCTAAATACAGATCTGAAAATAATTTTATCGAACCATCAAAATAATAATTGGAACATTTTAACGATAATACCACAAAATATGTTTTAACATATTCTAACAATTAGTTTCAGCGTCTACATAATTATTTTAATATCTACAAAATTATTTTTATCTCTAAATCTTTAGGTACTTCTCACTAAATTATTTTCTTTTTTTTATCTAACAATGAATAAATCTGCAAAGATTCTGCATTTATTAATTAAATTGTGGCAAGCTATATCAAACACGCGAGTGTATTTGATTATGCTTGGTATATGTTGCTTTGATATATTTGATGCGAGACGCAGTATCCATTCTTAATCCGTTGCGAGTTCTCTCGAGGATGTTATCTCTCGTATTCGTTACGTGCATTAGTGTGTTTAGTCCACTCGG